CTCTAATTTTTAAGTTTACACCTATTTTGAGGACCGGTTTACATCTTGGTATCCTTTGGTAAAGAGAGAAAGCACCCTTTGCTCATTACCCACTTCATATTTTATACCCTTCACAAACTGATGATGGATTTTCTGAATTTCCTTCCAAATTGAACATCCATAAGAAGACCTTACATGACATCTTTTGCCTCCCACTCTCGGCTACTGGAGCCATACTTGAAAACAATTAGCCTTCTCCACAGACTTTTCGGTTCCTCATTGAACCTCCACAACCACTTCCCTAACAAGGCAGTATCGACTTCCTTTACTGTTCTGATCCCTAGGCCCCCATTTGCTCCAGTCCTCTGGATCTGCAGATTTTCTTCCAGCTCACTAAATGGCATTTTGCTTCCTCCTTCCACCCCCTCCATAGGAAATCTCAAATCTTCTTTTCCAACACTGCAGCCATTCTTGCCAGAATTGGGAACAAAGACATGTGGTAAACAAGAAGAGAAGACAAAACACCATTGATTAGAGTGACTTTACCCCCTTTTAATAAGCATTTGGTCTTTAAGAGGCCAATTTTCTGTCAATTTTTTCAATGATGGGCTTCCAAATGGTTTTGGATTTACAATTATCACCCAAAGGCATACCTAAGTATTTGGTTGGGAGTTTACCAACTCTGCAGCCCCAATCATCTACCCACTCGTCTAGGTTTGTAACTTCCCCAACAGCCATAATTTCGCTCTTTATATGCAAATCAGTTACCACCTTGAACCATCTTAATATAGCCTTCACATTCCAAATTTGCTCCCAAGAGGCATCATAGAAAAAAAGAGTGTCGTCTATGAATTGCAACAGAGTTATCTCCACTTCCCTGCTGCCTACTTCAAAACCTTACACCAGCCCTCCTAGACAAACTCTCTCTACAAGTCTGAAAAGGGCTTATGTCACACAGATGAATAAGAGGAGGGGTAGAGGACCCCTTTGTCTTAAATCCCTTGAACTCCAAAACAGCCCAAAAGAACCTCCATTCACAAGCACTGAAAACAAGGAAGAAGATAAACACACTTTTATCCAATTCTTCTATTTCTTGCCAAAGTTCATTCTCTTCAACATGTAGTCCAAAAAATACCAATTTACATGGTCATAAGCTTTCTCCATATCTACTTTTACATAACAAACCAGCTCAACCACTTCTTTTCCTTGAATCTATTACCTTCATTAGCAATAAGAACTCTATCCACAGTCAGCCTTCCCCCAATGAATGTTCCTTGGGACTCAGCAATCAGATTAGGTACCACTTTTGCCATTATATTAGCCAATAGTTTAGATATAATCATGTGCATGCTGCTCACAAGACTGATGGGTCTAAAATCATTCAACTTCAACTTCACTTCCCTTTCTTCTTTGGAATTAAAGTAATGAATGTATGCTTCAAAATTCCTTCAAGTTCACCCCTTTCATGAAATTCCTTCAACACATTCATTATTTCTTGTTTCACAATTTCCCAACATTTCTTATAGAAAATAAGTATGAAACCATCATGCCCCAGGGCCTTATCCTCTTCTAATGCTTGTATTACTCCCCACACTTCTTCCTCGGAAGAAAAAGGCTTCTCGAGATCTCTAGCTTAACCAACTGAGAGAAATTCAAATGCCAAACCTTCTAAAGCAAGTCTAAACCTCCAATGTTCCTTGTAAAGGTTCTCATAATACTTTGCAATGTGTCTCTTGATCAATGTTTTAAAAGTGCAAGATGCAAGGCGAGGCATGCGCCTTTTTAAAGCAAGGCGCAAAATTACAAAAAAAAAAACTAAAAAATCAAAAAAAAAAGTTAGAAAATTCAAAAAAAAAATGCCAAAAAAATTTAAAAATGCAAACAAAAATAAAAAATATATTAAACATAATGTTAATAAAAAATATAAACTTAAATTTTAAAATAAATGTTTTAAAAAACCTATTATCTTAAATTAAAATACATAAACATAACATGTAAAGCGTATTCAAATGAAAATTTAAAAATCATTCATCAAAAAAAATGAAAATTTAAAAATAAAAGCAAACATATAAAGCATTTTCAAGCATGTAAAACCCACAATCTCTTTCTATCCTTAATTGCATTGCTTCAAGTAGCTAATGTGATGTAAGACATATTGCATTCTTGGTTCTATGAATTGCCTTTGTACCACGCCCCTCGAGGCAAGCCCGAACAAGTCTATGTTAGGGTCTGAAATTCTTATTTCTCACATAAAATTAATGATTTTATAACTTTCATTGCCTTTTAAGAAGATATTTTATTGCAATGAATGAATGAACAACATTAGCAAATAGGGGGTTCTCGAAGCTCCCGGTGGGCTTGCCTCGAGGGGCGTGATAGGGGGTCCGAGGGCAGAGCCCCCAACCTAGCAGTTAGACTAAAAAAAAGCAAAAAGCGCAAAGGCGCACGCCTGGGCTGAGGCGCAAGGCGCATCAGGCACACACCTAGGGACACCAGGTGTGCGCCTTTTGAAAGGGTGTGCCTAGGACCTAGGCAAGGCACATACCCCAAAATGCGCCTCACCTGTGAGCCTAGGCGCGCCTTTTAAATCACTGCTCTTGATTTGCCTTTCCTCCTCAATTTTCACCACTTGGAACTTCTATCTTCTTTGTTTTGTTCTCCCTCCTTGCACTTGTCATTTTGTGGAAGAATTTTGCATCATTATCTCCATCCTTCAACTATAAACACCTTGATCATTGCCTCCATTTGATTTCCTCTTGATAAGTAGTTTGTCATACTCCCTTTTAGACAATTCTTTTCTTTTTCTTTCCTCCCTATCAATGTTACCATTCTCCTCTGCCTTGTCAACTTCAGCAATCAAATCTAAACAACTTTTCTTCTTGTTCTCCCCCTCCTTCAGCACCCATTTGTTCCATTCTTTGATTTTTAATTTCAGGCCTTTCAATTAATCAACTTTTTGCTCAAAATATGGATTACAGTACCTTCAAAGACAAACCAGCAGCCCACCAGTCAGCCACCAAGTCTAATAAAACCTGGCTCCTCAATCCAACAATGCTCAAATATGAAAGGAGACCGACCCCCTCTTGTACCTCCACAGTCCAACATAATTGGAGAATGGATGGACAACGGTCTCGGCAAAGCTTCTAGAGACAATTTTGGGAAGTTCTCTTCCCATTCAGTGGAAACCATATATCTATCCAGTTTTACTAAGGTTGCTTCTTCCTGGTTATTTGCCCAGGTGTATTTCCCCCTAGCAATGGCAAGTCAACCAACTCCCACCTTCTCATGAAATCTGCAAAACCCCCCATTCCCTTCTAATTTCCTTTGCACCCATTCTCATAAGAGAATCTGATTGAGTTGAAAGCCCCCCCCCCCTCAATTACCCACAGCTGATTCCAGTTCCTTTTTATATCATCCCATTCCTCCCAAAAAGAGTCTCTCAAACCCTCTTAATTTGGGTCATAGACCACTGCCAGCACCCACTCCCAATCGCTTTCCTGAGCCTGCAATAAAAGTGAAACAGAGAACTAGCCTATAATCCTGCCTCTTATGTATGTATGTACTACCGGCCTTCTCATTCAAACCCCAAGCCAACTGGATATTGGGTTATCTGGGCTCTAGTATTTTGGTATTAGAGAAATGAAGGTTGCATTCATTCCCTTTCCTATCTTGCCCCTTTCATGGAATTCACTAAATCAGACTTGATAACCTCCCAACTTTCTTGAAAGAAGGTCATATTAAAACCATCTCAGCCAGGTCCCTTGTCCCCATACAACCCCATCACGACTCTCTTTACCTCATCTTTTGACAATGGCTCTTATAGTCTCCTCACCTCTGATTCAAGCAATCTATCCCAAAATAATCCCTCTACAATGGGTCTCCTTCTCTCATTAAGAGCCAACAACCTTTTAAAATGTGAAACTAAATCTTCCCCGATCCCATCTTCATCTAAAACTTCTCCCCCATCCTCCTCCACCAAATGCCTAATTTTATTCTTTTGCCATCTACCGTTAGCCAACTTATGAAAACAAATGTATTTCCATCTCCCTCTTTAGCCATTTGCACCTTGATTTTTTGTCACCAACAAATCTCTTCCCTTTGAATTATGGATTCTAACTCCAATTTCAATTTGAATCTCCTTTCCCTGTCTCCCTCTGATATAATGCGTCCTTCATCCAACTCCTTTTATATCAATTGCTTCAATTTCCTATAAGATATGAACTTTGCTTTCCTCAACTCTCCCAAAAGGTTGGATTTTCCATTTCTTCAGTTTAAGTGAAGCCATTATAGCCTTAAGGTTATTTGTATCTAGTCAATTATTTTTAATTGTTATTTTCAATTCATTTTGTTCATGATATACAACATGAAAGTTATTTTTAGTTCATTCTATTAATGATATATAATATTTTGATCATTTTAGTTTAATTTATTAATCTAATCCAATATCCAATTCCAATCCAAATTCAATTTGAATCCACTAATAAATCTGACAGATAAGATTCAATTCAAATATAAATAAATCAAATTTGGATCTACCTATCTGTTTGCAGCCCTACAAAAGCTTGGTTTTTCTTCAGGCTTAGAGTTGCTGATGATGGAAGGTGACTTCCTTCTATTTATTTATCTTATAGTAACACCCGAATTGTTATAGGGTTGTATACTTTTTGCAGAATATGGCCCTTGGGCTTTCAGACACATCATCTAAGCCTTGTCCTAACTTATGGAGCCAGCCACATGAATCCAGTTTCGCTGTTCCATTCTGTTCAGTGCCATTTCTATTGTGGCTTTCAGAGACATGATTATGTAATGTTTTTAATTGGAAAAGTCAAATAGAAAAATCAATACAAAGTAATAATACATGTTTTATACTTTTGTTCAATAGTTAACGTGTTTTATATTCTTCACAAGTATCCAAGTTACTGACAAGGCAGATGATGCATAATACAAATAACCAGGATTTGTTTTCTGACATTCAAGGCCTATAAGAAGCACATAAAAGGGCAAAAGTATGACTAACCCACCTAAAATGCCGGCAAAGAGCAGAGCGAATGAAAGACACTCTTGTGGGATTCATCGCATGCAATGGTTTAAATGGCCCCACAGGGTCCCACCTGTTCTTTGCATGAGAAAAAGACCAAGTAAGACATGCAGCAAGAATATGAGAGATGTGTAAACTGTAAAGTTCCTAACTATTACATGTATAATTGCCTGTCAAATTTGAAATATAAATGGAATTTCAATATCATCATGGAAAAGTAAGGGTCCAATGAAGAAATGTCATTACCTACTTCTAGGTTAAGTACAAATGAATTCAGGTTTGCTCAATTGGTTAGAAAATGGGTGACAGTCATCAGGTCCTCTCCTCATTGAGTGAGAATGTGTGTGTGTACAAGCATGTATATGTACTGTTCCCCATGTGAAATCCATTAAGCTAATTTTCAATGGATGTCCCCCTAGGTAATCCAGCTATATCAATGATTAGAAATGCATGTGCAAGCATAATACAGTGATTTTAGCATACTGAAGACCAGTGGGATATAGAGATTTTACAGGAGATGAGTTTTTATCTTTAGTTCAGGATCTCATACTGATACCACCCTTCATAATGAGTGCTCAGATGATGCATATTGAACAGTACTCCATTGTGATGGGTTGTATAAGTGACATGGGTTTGTCGAGAGAGAATGAGCACCAAAATGCAAGCTTTAGGTTTTTTTTTTTTTTTTTTTTTTTTTTTTTTTGGGGGGGGGTGGGTTGGAAAGGGATCCACGTTTTGTATTTTTTATTATTAAAACTTAGGGCTTTGAACTTTTACCTCAATAGTTCACATATTAATACAATACTTTGCTCAAATAAAACAGTTGCTACCCATATCGCAGAACACATACAGCTTAATCGCCTAAAGAAACCCAAGAAGGCAAGCATAGGATGGTAAAAACAACGTTCAAAAGGAATAAGTCAATTGCAGACAAAGCAGCAAATTCAGGCCTTTGAACTTCTACGGAAGTCATATCTAGAGTCTCTTAATGGCTTTCCCAAACATCTCTGAAAAATTAATCGTTGCTTGTGACGCCTCAGAAAACGGCATTCGAGGAAGGCTTTCCCAAACATCTTGGTTATTCACATGATTATCCGATTATCCATGTTTAGTGGGAATGAAAGATGTCTTGTTGACCAGTGGTCCTTTCAGTTTGGGAACAGTTTCATCTGCCATTGTTACGAAGGCAAATGTAACATGAGAAAACTGGATCATTGCACCCATTTCACTTGTAAACGCATGCTTCCGGTTTGTATGTAGCAATTCCAAATACTCCTAGCAGAAAATTATATCTTGAAACACCAATCATACAGAACAAGAGAAGAAGGATAAAGGGAGAGCCCACCAGGTTTCAGCAATGGCGGAAAACTTGGCCAGTTCCACATCATTCAAAGACGACGAAAAGGGCCTCCGGCCTGCGCCCCCTTCATTTCTACGGGTATCATGCGACTGAGGTTTCTCCGACGGTGAAGTTGAAGGGGGATCAACCAAATCTGGTTGAGGATCATTAGAAAAAAGTCTTCTTTGGATCCTCTGAGAAGCTCTGGAAGCCGATAATGCCAGAAAAATATTCCGGCCGTGTTGTGTATTGTTGCAGAGAGCGCGACAAAGCTTCAACGACTTGGAAGCCATTTTCTGAGTTGAAATGGCAAGGAGACTCGGAGCGATTGGTCGCCTGCCCGAGTTTTGATTTAGAAAGCAAGCACTAGAAGAGCCCCGTGCGATGCACGGGTGGTGTTAAAAAGATGCGAAATCCATACAAGTGCCCCGTGCGATGCACGGGTGATTTCGGTTTGATTTTAGGATAAGGTCCATAGCTAGGATTGGTATTGGGTTGGGACTTAATCTCATCCAATCCATTTAATTTAGGTTAAATACTTAATTATTCATATGATTTAGTAAATGGACAAAAACTAAACTTATGTTATTGTCTAAAAAATTACTTAAAGACCTTTAGGTTTTTTTTTTTGACAATAGACAAAATCCTTTCCTATTGTTAGCGTGCAGTTACAATCCATTCGCATATGATGTCAATTATTTACATAATTTTTCTTAATTCCAAAACTACTCTTTTTATGGTCAATTTTGCCCTTCATTATTATTTAAATTTTCTAAATAAAACCAAGAAATCATTTGCAATACTGTATCCACTGCCTTCCCCATCTTGAATTAACTGAACATCCATTGGTGAAATCTGGTTGTCATTGATCTAAACAAGAAACTCTCTCTCTCTCTCTCTCTTTCTCTCATAGAGGATTTGATTTCAGGTCATGTTTGAGAATCGCCATCAACCATAGCCATCTACGCAATCTTCTGTCATTCTTGTGCCCTCTCTACGACTGCCAAAACAAGAATTCCAACCACCGGCCACCGCCTCGTCACCATATATGTATCGACCTACCAAGTACCAGCCTCAGCCTAAAGAGTGATGAATGAAGCATGGCATCTGAACCTGCCATGTATAAGATGTGCAGTGTTAGTGTTAAATCATGTCGGTAAGTGGTTAAAACATGTTTTGTTGGCAAGAGATTCGATCCTAACTCTAAGTATTGAGCCCGAGACTCAAAAGGCAAAAGCAAATTATTGATGATACCCCCCCATCGCCATACTAGCCACTTAGCCAGTGGCCACCCCCCGCAAGCAGTGTTGAATCGTTAATAACCAACAAACATATTTATTTCGGAGTTACAACTCCCACATTGATTGAATATGCGCCAATGATATTCTCATAAGAGATTGTGTCCCACATTGAATCACTTAATATGATGTCCAGGGAGGTAGATTTTGATGTTATGTTTTCAAATAACCCATCTTGATTCAATACATTGCTCAACATGTGTCTTGTGATTTATATTTTAACAGGATTCTTCTGTGGTTCTACCCTTATTGACACAGCACGACCAGGAAAACATTTTGAGGACTAGGGCTACTTGAAAAGCTCTACTTACAATACCATTTTCAAGTAGATGAGTGTGTGTGTGTGTGTGTTGTGATCTATGTTTGATGCTGGGGCTTTCTATGTGGTCAGATTTGTGTGGTGTGCTATAATTGCAAGAAAAATCCATTCGGTTGTACCGAAGATGGGACAGAGGCAAACCATCGATCGAAGACAACAAATTCAATGATGAAAGACAGCCCTCCTTTTTTAAATTCTTATGGTTCTTGAATTTTTATTATTAGTTGGGTTTTATTTTGAAAATTTAAGAAATAATGAAGGACAAATTTAATAGTTTTGCTTTTTTCATCAATATTTAACAACGGATGTCCACTGTTAGGAAACTTAAGGGTGCAATAAGTAATTTTTTAAACAATAGAGTAAGTTTTGTCCATTTGCTAAATCATAGGGGTACTTTAAGTATTTAACCCATTAATTGAAGAGAGAGAGAGAGATTTAAGAATGATTTTATTAAAGAATAATAATGATAATTTTAATAGAAAAAAAAATTAAGACAGCTCACTACAAGAAAAACAAGCTATGTCGGCGGTCGTTAAACCGCCAGCTTAGATTTAAGTCGGCAATTTTTCGACCACTGGCTTATCCATTGTCGGCCTAGATCATGTTCGGCGGTGTAGAAACAAAAATTTGCCGCCTCAAGGTCTTGATCCAACCGTTTTTATACACAAAATTATGAGAAAAACGCAAGCTTAGTGACTCATTAAGCCAGCAATTCTTAATGTTCAAATGTGGCAGATGGAAAATCGTCAGGACAAACTATGTAAGACGGCGACCCCATGAACTAAGCCGACAGTTACAACCGCCAGCTTAGGACTACTTCGTTTAAATTTGTTTTTACCAACAGTTCATGACCGCCGGCATAAGTTTAGTTTGTTCAAAAAAGAGAAATATTCATTTACACCTTTGTCAGCGATTACATATCTATCGCCAAATCCTGACTTTACCATATCTAAGTATGTAATTACTCATTTAGCCAAAGAACCCAAATTATGTGGAATAACAATTTTTAAATAGAAAATGAAGATTGACAAGTTTTAAGTACTTAACTCTGGTAATTGAGTGAGAATGAAGATTGACAATACTTAATAAAATAGAGAACTGGATTTGGCTTTCGGATTTCAAAACTTTGAAATAAACAGTTTATAAAACTTTTTTTATCACATTATATTTATTCTATTTTCCTCTTTTCTTTCAAGTTCCTATAAAACCAAACAAAGTAAAAAAATAAAAAATAAAAGGAAAAAAAAATATTTTACCCATATAATTTAGTTAACATGGATGTCCAATTTCTTTACATTTCACATTGAAGAAAACTATTAATCTGGGTAGCACCATTTGAATAAATTTTCCCATAAACATGAGTAGAATTAGAAATTGAAAAGGAGCAATTTTGGTCCTGTTGCAAGCTGTAAGAATAGAAGCAAAACAAACTATCATTGATGAAACCATAGAAATAGTACATAAATAGAATATGGCAATTTAGATATTATAGCACACAAAATAAAATAAAAAATGGGTATTCAGCAATGAAGATTACCATTATGATTGTAGCATTAGGATCTTTTAGCATAAGTGTTTCCTTCCCAACAGGTCCTGTAGTCTTCTCTTCAGCTATAGATTTCAAATCACCCAAAGCTCAACCAATTATAGTTATAAGGGTAACATAACTTGAGAATTCTCAAAGTATACTTTCACTACAAATGATCAGGTTTGGATCATAGCACTACACAAAAACTTAATTGAATGTAAAAAATAAAATAAAAAACAAAAAAGTTCACATTAAGACTTAAGAGTAATTTTGTCCAAATTTACAATTTATCAACAGAGTAGCGAATTATAGTAAGAGTTAAGGAAAATTCAATGCACACTCTGCAATTTATGAATTGTTTTAACTTAAAAAAAAAAAAAATAGCAAACAATTCTGAATAGGACTTACAGTCTTGAAGTCTCCAACTAGGAGCGCTACTGGCAATTGAATGCAGCCTCAGCTTGTGGGGCTTCCTATTCTTGGCAATTGAATACAAGCATGCATACCAAACTTGGTTCCATTCGTAAAGTGCAGGACATAGGCAAATTCTTTGTCGATTGCTATACAAGATATAGAAACAAACTCAGTAATAGAAATTCTCATGATAAAGTCATCCCCTCCCCTTCCCATACTACTTCAATTAGTGCAATGTAAATAGACCCAATGTAAACATGGAGATGCAAAAGGAATCAAAATAGCTGATATATCTCCTGGTAGAGAAATTCTCCTTCCTCTTCTGTCTTCCTTTCCTTGACTTGTAAAATAAGATAATCCAAATAACAGAAGAGGAAATGAAAAACAACCATATTACTTGAAAGAAGAAAAAGGAAAAAATACATACATGAGATGTCATGGCATCGTTATACATGAGTTGTTATGCAGCACCATTGATATTAGGCACAAGTTTATCTTACTATTACACATTGATGAAACCAGCATCAAAAAGACATTTAACTTTGGCATCCACAAATAAGAGTTCATGGAACCTATCACAATGGAGAATGACATCCAAACCACCCAATGAACATCCAGTAAGAAGAGCCTGTGGCTAGTTTCTTTAAGTTATTAAGACAAATTGTACCAATTAAATTCAAAAAAGAAAAAATAAAAAGATATAAAAAATTCAAATTCGTCTTACATATTTGGCATTTTATCCCTTTATCTAGCAGGTCCTCTAATAACAGCTTGCCAAACCCTCTCTCCTCTTAAGTAAAGATTGTTGACCTGCTCAAGTTCATTGATGTCACATAGAAAACCTAAGTAAACTAAACATTGTTTCTAGGTTTTCTTATGAAATTAATGTCATAACTGATAAAATTCAAAAGGCTCATTGGATCAATAGCCTCCGCATCTCCAGTTAATGATGATCCATCACAGTACCAAACCTTAATCTTGTTCCAATTATAAAAATCTAGATAGTGAAATACAGTTTTATGTCATTTTGTAGGAAAGGGAGTTGGATATAATTGATCAAGAGATACTACCACGGTTAAAACAAATTATGACATTGCTACACCATCCTCCTCCCTAAGAAGGTAAGAGAGCAATTAAACGAAGGATCCAGCACGGAACATCTAACGCAGTAACACCACATACTAGCAACTGCATTGAGTCAAATGGAAATAACCAGAAGTATACAAACATAAAAACCTTGCTCAAACATACTAGCAACTTCACATTTCTGGATCCTAGATTCCAGTTAATACTAGAAGCACCAGGTTACATAAACATATGGAAGACGGTTCAATGGTAGACAGGAAACAAAAAAGAAAGGATGATAGAAGTGAAATGCATGAGCATTCTATTGAGCTACTTGATGATGTGGGATTTTCTTTGAAAAATGAAGGTTGACCAACGTCAAAGAGGCAGAGACATGTTGAACAGTCTTCAACCAATCTGATAAAGGATCCAGATGTTGTTTAAGCAGCCATCATGTAACCTATATTTTCCTTTTTGACCGTACTATTTGTTTACCACTAAATTTCTATGTAGAATGTTTGGAGTTAATTATTTATTGTTGGTGCCTCATATCATCAATTTTACCTAAAAAAAAAAAGGCTGAGAAGGCTCGTGTGAAATGAAATAGTGTGTTATGGCTAATGGGGGTATGGGCTGGCGTATGGTGGTGGATTATGATGAGATGACAAAGATAATAGCTAAACAAGCCAGCAAGCTATCCCATTCCCATGAACACCATCC